CAAGCTGGATGAACACCAACAAAATCCCTGGCACAGACCAGACGACCAAATCTCAGAAAAGACAAAGACAAAAAAAAAACACATCACAACATTGGCGCATGGTCAGAATCAGTAAGCCGCCACCACGGCCAAAGGATCAGCTACCGCAAGAAGGAGCATCCGGAGGCTAAACACCAGATGGGGGTGTAAACTCATCAGACCTTACAAAAGGGGGCTTACCGGGCGAGGGTTCGTACTCGTCAAACACCAGATGGGGGTGTAAACTCATCAGGCCTTACAAAAGGGGGCTTACCGGGCGAGGGTTTGTACTCGTCAAACCAGATGAGGGTTCGTACTCATAAGTCGAAGGGGTCAGCTACCGTGTCGAAGGAGCATCCCAGAGGCGCACAACACAACATCTCCCAGACGATCATCCGCCACAAAGACGGTACATCAGAAGGGAAACCGGGCAAGAGGGTCAACTCCTTTACCCCCCAGTCGATCATCCTGACAACAGAAGGCCAGCAGTCGACTGGACGGGTAAAGGGGGGGCAGCTGTAGACCCCAAATCTTGCCCGGCCTCCAAATAAAGCCAGAAGATCCCCTATTTGAAGACGACTGAAGCCTAACAAGCCACTAGGAGAGACTATTAGGCTCCCGTACCAAGATAGGAAGGTTTTTCGGGTCAAAAAATAAGTTTTCTCGCTTCGAAGGGACGAGACCGCCTTCTGGATGACCCAGACCGCCGTTTCGTCTCGTGTAGCAAGCGAGACCGCCGTCTCGTCTAACGAGACCCCGGTCTCGTTGCCTACGAAAACCCAGACGGCGGTCTCGTTCACCCAGACCCCGGTCTCGTTTCCTACGAAGAACGAGACGACGGTCTCGTTCACCCAGACCCCTGTCTCGTTTCCTGTGAAGAACGAGACGGCGGTCTCGTTGGACGAGACGGCGGTCTCGACCCTGTCAGACGAGACCGGCGGTCTCGCCATCTGACAGCGCGAAAACCTATAAATAGGAGCTCTCCCCCCCTCATTTCCACACCCCAAGCAACAAGAGCTCTCCCTTCTCTCTAGATTTTCTCTCTCTAAGAATCCCTCCGAGGCATTTCCGGAGTTTCTGAGCGTCTTTAGGCATAGACTGAGCGTTCTAAATCTTCTTAAGAATCCCTCCGAGGCATTTCCGGAGTTTCTGAGAGTGTAGAGTGAAGGGTTGCCAAAACGCACCCTCTTTTTTATATATAAAGCTTGCTTTGGAGGTGCATATCCTCATTCTCTATTCTTTAATTTACTGCTATTTAAATACTGCAATAGAAGCTAGGGCAATGTAGTCACATATTTAAATGCTGCATAATAAAAAGGGCAAAAGTACGTTTTTTTTCTAGTTTATCAATAAAAATAAGCCGGCCTATCATAGGGAACCCGAAAGGGGCGTCGTGAAGGGACTAATACTCCCTTTACACGTAACCAACTCCCTTACCCAACTCTGGTTCTAATGACCAAAGTTGGTTTTCGAAAACCAACGCCTTTTCAACCCCTTTTCCGATGTTTATGGTAAAAATATCGGTGGCGACTCCATAGAACCCAAAATAAATAAGTCTTTGGGTTAGCCCGGTTGTCGGACAACTCAAGGACGCTTTTCGAAAACCTCGTCTCTAGGTTAGCCCGGTTATCGGACAACCTAAGGACGTTGTACCCACCAATAAAAAACGCGAAAACAAGAGGGTCGATAAAACCATCGCGTCGTTCCGACCGTCTCGTTCTGACGGCGGCGACAATGAAAATATTTGACAGATTATTAATCGATTAAAACAACTTAAGAGATTTTTTTCAAAGTGTTTTAATCGATTGAAACGTTGTCGTATTAGTTAAAAAAAATATGAAAAATAATCAAGATCATTTTAACAGATTAAAAGAAGTTTTAATAGATTAAAAGATTGTTTTAACAGATTAAAAGATTGTTTTAGCAGATTAATTAAACCAGCAGTTAAAACAAATCTCTATATAAACAGGATTGCTTCAGTCTTTTAAAATATACCTTTGAGCAATCAATCAAGTAATCATAAAAGCTATTTTCAAGAAAGAATCGCACAAGTTTTGTGGTGTTTTTGAAAGTTCTTTCTTGAGGCAATTTTTGCATTCTTTTGGTGAAGAAACTCATTCTGTAGAAGCTGCATAATCTGGGTTTGATTGTTCGAATTTCTTCTCTTTGTTTCTTTACATTTCTTTACTGTATTATAGGTGTGTGGAATTGTTGGGCACTGGTTCTGTAGCTGGAATTTGGCTGCAGGTTGGTACAAGAACTAGAATTTGGTTCTTGGGTGGTGAGTGTCTGGAATTGTTGGGCACTGGTTTCTGTGGCTGGAATTTGGCTGTAGGTTGGTTCAAGAACTGGAAGTTGGTTCTTGGTGAATGTTTAGGTGCAAGATCTGGAATTTGGGTCTTGTGGTAGATTGGGTGTGTGATTGGAATCTGTAATCTGTAAAACATTCAATCTAGTGGAACTCAGCTGGAATTTGGCTGAGAACTAGACGTAGCCCTGGGATTGGGTGAACTAGTATAAATCTTGGTTGTATTTCTATAAACTTTACTCTCTTTAATTCTGCTGCTGTCTTTATTTTAAATTGCTTATTTTTCTTGATTCAAGAATTGGTCAGAACTCTTAATCTTTGAAATAGATAATTTGTAAATTGCGAAAAACTTTCAAAGATCAATTCACCCCCCCTCTTGATCTCAGCCTCTTTTTCTAACAATATTGACACCCCTAATGATTCATATAATTATCTCCTTATAGAACAAGACATATAAGCTATAAGGGTTATTCAAGAAAATGATCCTCAAACATAGAAATGCATGAGTAACCATACCAAACAGGTAAATTCATACATCATCAAAATCATCCTCCTAGCACAAAACTAACATGAAAAGGTGTAGCCATCATAGCTCATCAAAACATTTATTGCTGCACTTAGCCTCAAGCTAAACATGGCGGAGATAATGAAACTCGTCAAATATTATTTTAGCTCCAAGTTTTACATGGTGGAGGGAATGAAATTCACTAAATATTATTTTAGCCCCGAGCTAAACATGCCAAAGGTAATGAAATTTACCAAATATTGTTTGAGCCTAAGTTAAACATGACAGAGATAATGAAACTCACCCATTATAAATTTAGCCTCGAGCTAAACATGGTGGAGTTAGCGAAATTCATCAAATATTTTTTTTTTTCAAGTTAGATGTAACCACCACAACATGTCATCACTAAATGTAGTTATCATAATACGTCAATATTCTCACCTAGCGTGATCTAGTATGAAAGGATGGAATTACCACAACTCATCACATTTATAGGCAAAAGCCAATAGCATGGAGTCTCTGAAACACATCTTAGACAAATAAAACAACTTTATATTAAATGATTAGAATTATATATTGAAATTGAACTAAGTTTTATTTGAGTTATATTCATCGAATTATATATTAAAAACATATCAACTTAGATTTTATCCGAGATATATTCATCCAAGTTTACAATCATTTGAGCATGTCATTATTCTATAATAATTATTCGAGAATGTCATTTGAATATGTCATTATGTTATAACAATAATACATCATAATACTTGAATCACAAATATAAAACAATCATCAAAGCTTCATCTTATCAAAAAATCATATATCTATATAAATTTGACCATCATATACTTCAAAAATATGTTCTATTTCGAGATAGCTTGGTAATAATCCTAAATTAAGCACATTTCGGGCATAATTCTAAATTAAACAAATCTCACTCATAAAATTGAGCACATTACTAAATTGAACTCACTTCTACTTAATGATATTTTATAAATTGTCAATATAAATTGTACAATTGTCAAGAAAAACTTATAGTCATTGAATCGACTTCATCACAACTGCAATAGAGATCAAAATAATTAATTCAGCAAAAAAAAGTCTTATAAATAGATAAATTTTACTTAATCAACTTATTCATTTACATCAAAATTAAACTTTTAAGCTTAGGGGCCTTATGTACCTGTTTAGATTCTCAAATTCATAACAAAAATATTCCCTATATTAAGACATATTATGCTAATAATGCATAATTAATCTATTTAATTATAATCAACATTAAATAGATATAATTTACTATTTAAAATACTTTCATAAAATATCTATAAATAGAACTACTTTATTTTTTACAAATCATTTAATTTTTATTTAGAAATTTATTATTATTATTATTATTATTATTATTATTATTATTATTATTATTATTATTATTATTATTATTATTATTATTCACCTTTTTTTCTTATATTGACATAAGCATAAAAGTCTCCTTATAGATGAACTTTCTTTTTTTTTTTTTTTTTTTAATATTTAGCAGAACTTGGTCCAATAAATATGAGAGTGACAATCAGTCATACTAACTTATCTAAGCTTATTTATTATTATAATTTTTTAATAATGTATACAATACATTCAAATTCAATTATTCATTTATAAAATAAAATATTTTAAAGATTCTCTAACTTAAATATTGGTATAGTGAGATTCATATATTATACTTAAGAAATTTATTTAGAATTATATTAGGTAGCAGTCAAGAATATCTTTCATATTCTTTTCATATTCTACCATTTTCTTTAAAACCATTATTCCATATTCTTTCGAACAACGTTCATACTAACAAAAATTATTTATAATAAATTTCTATAAAATTTGTTGCAAATATATATTATTAAAAAAAAGAATTGTACGAAAATTAGTAGGAATTTAAATTTATTTATTACAAAATTTGTTATGAATGCAAATTTACAGAAAATATTTAATAATATTTAGATAAATGATAGAAAAATTTGTAGATAATGATTTTTATAGATTTTACTATAAATTATTGATTGCAGCAAAATAAAATTGAGTATTTAAATTTATTGTTTTTTAAATAATTAAAACAGTTTATTTAACAGAATATTACTTTATTAAGTTAATTATATAAATCTTATTAAATAATTTTAGTTTAATCAACAAAATTGTTGCTCCGCCAGCAGCACCGGAAGTTGCATCAACTATGGACTTAGAATTGAAGCTCGGTGATGAGATTGAAGCAAACCAAGTTATTTCTGTTGGTAAGAAGTATAATGATTCTCGTTCTTTGTTTTAACTTCTGAATAATTTCTTTCATCAAACTGTGCTCTGTTTTTAGATCTGAACCAAAACCACCGACTGATTATTTTTGTGTTATTTATTACTGAACGACTTTTCGATTTTTGGTTATAAATTAAATTTTAAAAATACTTTGTACAATATACCATTATTTTGAAACACAAAAGTTTATATATATATATATTAAAATTTGTAGCAAATATCTTCATGGGAGAAGTTTTATGCGAATTTGAAAGAATTCAAAATTTCAAAGAAAAGTTTCTTGTGAATTTTGAATTTTAAATTTCGCATGAAAATCTTATATATACGAAATTTATCCGTAATACAAGATACTTGCAAAAAATTTAAAATGTTAAAATTTCTAGTAGTCACATGTGGACGCAAAATTTACTTCTTAGTCATGCATAAAAAGAGTATTATACGAGTAAATGTTTATATCTTCACTTGTGTATAAATTGGATGATAATAATCATTAACTAATAAAGAAATAAATTGATTGAAAGGAGATGATGATGATTATTTTGTAGGATGTGATTATGTTTGGATGTATGGACAATGAATATAAACTCGTGGTTGTGGTGACCAAATACGGTGGTGAATGAATGTAGTGACTATAGATAGTTTTGTTTTTTTAATTGATTTTATTGGATTTGTTAGTATATGTAATTGTAATACATTGATAGAGAATTTAAATAATAAATTAATTTTGAAGATTATAAATTATTTATATTAAGATATTATATTTTTCATTTTTTCTACTTACTTTGGAAATCTTTAGAGAAATTTGGATGTGAATTCAAATCATGGATCTTCTTGTTTAAAACTCCTCCTTTCATTAATCTTTTTCATAATTATTTTATATTTAAACATTATTCTTATCACGATACATTTCTCTTTTTAAATCTCGTTATACCTTCCCAAAGTTATTTTCAAACCTTCTTATTCTCACTTTATGGTGAGAGATTTTCAAATATAGACGCATTAGAATGACCAGGTGAATTTCTAGAGAAATATATTTTTGGATGGTAATTCTAGTATTAATGAAATTTTTTTCCTCTATTTAGCGGATAGTAAAATGTTGTATTTGTGGAACCTAACTTTAGGGGAATTAAAGGTTGTTCCTCCCCGTCTAATAAAATTTATATAATATTATATTTCTCCATGCATGGTTAATCAAGGATATGACTATGATTTTATTAGAGATGATTATAAGGTGATTAGGAATGAATGTTATTTTAAAAACAATTTGGAAGAATTGGATGAATATGATAACCCATTTCCTTCTTGGGAGATGAAGGAGTTGTGAGATGACCTCCTAAATATGTCTTTGTTTAATGTGATAACACGTGTTTAAAGGTAATAAATCATTTTAAAATAATAAATAAAATTGAAAGTTAACTATAGAAACAAGATTAAAAAGAGATTAAACCTTTCAAATAAAATTATAAATCAATACACAGAGGATTCTTAGTAATGTAAGAAATTTGTAATAACCAATGATAATTCTAGTAAGAAAAACAAGACAAAAAAATTAACAATTTATCTCCTCAAATGAAAGAAGACTTTCGGTATAAATTTCTAACTTAGATGAACTAAACTTTCCTTTAACACAACTTTTCAATCATAAGTGTACTTAAATTTAACCAGACTATTTCACTATCATATGTTTGAAATAGTATATTATCCATATTTCTTACTCCAACAGGACGAGCAATGCAAGGTGAAAGATCCAAAACGAAAATTTTAGTCCATGTTTCCTTCTTACCATGTTCAGCCAAAATTAATACGTAGAAGGTAGTTGAATTGTAATACTTCAACAACATAGCAATGGATGTAGCATTCAGTATTTCCCTAAAATATTTCACATGAATATAATGAAATATTTTGTTATTAAATTTAATAAAATGGTATTATGAGTTATTTTAAGACTTGATAATTTTTAAGGATATTAATAAATTATATATATCATGAAATTGTAATAGAGTGAAATAGATAAATTTAGATTTGAGTTTAAAATGAAGTAATAATAATAATAAGAGTAATATCATTAAGCAAAATTACTAATATAATTTCCTATTGATGAAAAGATTCAATTGACAAATGCAAAAGTTAAGTGAGGATAATTTAGGAGAGGAAAATTTTAAAGCTTGTCTAAAAAGCCAAATGGTATTATTTAAAGAGAGAAAGACCAATTTTCTTTCTTACTCATGGAAGATATTTTGGAACAAGGGAGGAAGAAGAGAAACTTGGCTTGGCTTGCCCACACAATCTTTGGTCCATCCTTTTTGCAATTAAGTGTAAGATTCATGAAATTAAAGTATCGAATTTCAATATTATCTCCTAAAATCTTCCAAATCTCAAGTATATGGTTATTTTGATGTTTATAGGAGACAAACCCTTTCTTGAACTAAGAATATTCGTTTTCTTGTTTGAAAGCTTCATTTGAAGTAAGGAGAGTCTTCCTGCCATCAATCCTAAGCTAAACCATCATTTATCTCCTTTCTAAATGAATTAGAACCAAACTAGAATATTTGATAAAAAATTTGTATGACTGTTCTAGTATATTTGGATACTCTACAATGCTCCTTACATATTTTAGAGTTTAGAAATGGATTCCTTGGATGCCAAAACCTAGAGTTAGTCATAAAAATCACTTAAGTTGTATTTTTCTAGAGGAAGATGATGAAAAATTTGTTGACAGGTGTTGCTGGAAAAATCTATAGGTGAACAGAATCTTTGGAAAATTATAAAAAAAATATTTATTTGGTATTTATTATGAAATTTTGGTTATATGTTCCTCCATATGTCTAGTTCGTGTGTGATTTATTTCAAAATTTTCTGACTAGTAGGTTTTCCATGAAAAATCTTGGAAGTGAATAGGTTTTGAGTGGGGTGAAACAGAGTTGCTATATCCACCCAAAAACTTTGAAAAATCATATAAAATCGAAATTGAAGTTTTTTTAGATGAAATTTTTATCGTGATTGTGACTGCATGTATATGTTAAGTATAATTATTTTCATAATTTTATGACCATTATTTTATTTTATAAAAAAATATATCTTTGAGTACTGCCCTGATAGTGGAATGTTCAAAACATGTAAGAAAGGAGGAAAGTTTTGAATGACTTAGATGAAAGTGATGAAGATCTTATTGAATCATTTGATTAAACGAAGATCTTATTGATTTGATGAAGTAAAAATGAAGTCAAAGGCTATTCTGGTGAAGTCAAAAGATTACTTGGTTAAAAGGGGAGAGTGTTTAGTGAGTCTACATCTATACATAGGTATTAATCATTCATATCTCTCTGCTGCATGGGATTTCATCTTCTAAAAGATTTTGCAAATGCCTCTAAAACATGTTTAAACTGCTACACACAAAGTAATCGGTTAAATGGTTTTTTAGTAATTGTTTTAACTGATATTATATAAGCTTTATCAGTTAAAATGTTCTTAACACTTACATAACAGGTTTTAACTGATAGGTTTTCGAAATAATCCATTAAAACCTTTTAAAACATACATTGGAACTGTTTTAATTGATATATCTTCGAAATAATTGATTGTTTTCATTAAAGGAGTTTTTGAAAACCTTCTGCCAGTATTTTAACCGATGTAGAATTGAAATAATCGATTAAAATGACTTAAGATGTTTTGAAAAGTGTTCAGCGTAATTTTAATCGATACTAACTCGAAATAATCGATTAAAATAACTTGAAGTATTTTGAAAGATGTTCCGTCAGGATTTTAATCGATGCAAATGCGAATTAATCGATTAAAACAACTAAGAGATTTTTCTAAAGTGTTTTAATCGATTAAAACAAGTCTCGTTATCGGTTAAAATGACTTAGAAAGTTTTATGAAACTATTTGGCAGAATTTTAATCGATTAAAATGCGAAATAATTGATTAAAACAACTAAGAGATTTTTTCCAAAGAGTTTTAATCGATTAAAACAAATTGTTATCAGTTAAAATCACTTAGAAAGTTTTATGAAAACATTTTGCAGTATTTTAATCGATTAAAAGGCGAAATAATCGATTAAAACAACTTAAAGGATTTTTTACAAAGTGTTTTAATTGATATAAACGTTGTCGTATCAGTTAAAACAAATCTGGAAAACGATCAAGAACATTTTAACAGATTAAAAGAAGTTTTAACCGATTAATTCAAGACTTTTAACAAATTAAAAGATTGTTTTAACAGATTAATTAAACCAATAGTTTGAAAAATCCTCTATATAAACAAGATTGCTTGAGTCTTTTAAAACACACCTTTGAGCAATCAATCAAGCATTCATAAGAACTACTTTCAAGAAAGAATCATGCAAGTTTTGTGAAGTTTTTCGAAGTTCTTTCTTGAGGCAATTTTTGCATTCTTTTGGTGAAGAAACTCATTCTGCAGAACTGCATAATCCGAGTTTGAGTGTTCTAGTTTCTTCTCTTTGTTTCTTTACTTTTCTTTACTGCATTGTGGGTGTCTGGAAGTGTGGGCATTGATTTTTGTGGCTAGAAATTGGCTGCAGGGTTGTTCAAGAACTGGAAGTTGGTTCTTGGTGAAGGTTTAGGTGCAAGGATTGTAATTTTGGTTCTTGTGGTAGATTAGGTGTGTGATTGGAATTGTAATCTGTAAAACATTCAATTTAGTGGAACTCAGCTGGAATTTGGCTGGGAACTGGACGTAGCCCTGGGATTGGGTGAACCAGTATAAATCTTGGTTGTATCTTTCTAAACCTTTCTCTTTTTAATTCAGCTGCTGCCTTTATTTTGATTGATTGTTTTGTTTGATTCAAGAATTGGTCAGAACTCTTAATCTTTAAAATAGATAATCTGTAATTTGAAAAAATCTTTCAAAGATCAATTCACCCCCCCTCTTGATCTCATCCTACTTTTCTAACATTAGAAATCTTTAAATATTGAGTTATAATTTTTATTATAATCTTAGAATATATATAATTTGGACCAGAAAATTTCATAGAATTTTGAGTTATTTTAGATTACAAAGAATTTTTCCAAAGTTATAATTTTCTAAGGTTTATGATAGACTTTTCTTCCAAGAGAAGTGTGGACAAAACTTTAATTCTAGACCTATTATTTATTTTATGAGTATGTATGATGTGAGAATGATAGTGTAATGAGATATCTTGGGACACAAGATTAGAAGAACAAGAGTTTAGAAAATTTGATGGATCACAATGTGTACTGAGTCCGAGAGTGTCCGACCCTCAGGAAATTTATATTGTTCTTGTTTGATGTAGGAAAATATGTTATATGAGTTTGATTTGAGTGTATTTGTAAATTGGGAAACGTCCAAATTATAAAGGAGACTCTATCAAATTTTTGAAATTGATGAAAAATAAATAAAGTTTAATAAGAATGGTATAAAAAAACTTTATGAATAGGTAATGCATTCATAATCATGGTAGTTAGTGGAAATCATGTCTATAGGATGTTTATGCTATGTGTTGAGTCTAAGTCAGAGATGTTGGTCATATAAAAGTAGGGTATTATATCTATAGTGATATAGTCTGTATGCTGGAGAGTTTGTTCCTACTAAATAAAATATTGTTAAAGAGATGGTGGTGTCACTCCATGACGAGATATGTGTAATGGTACACAGATACACCGAGGGCTTAGGAGATAAGAGAAGATCAGAGTGATCTTGGGGAAATATAGAGTGCATTGTTTGTCCATGCTCTATACTCCTGACTTGCCTCTTTGACTTTACCTTTATGCCAAGGAATTGTATGCATAAGCATTGTATCTGTGATATGCAAATCAACCGGCAACCATCTATACTTATGTGAACTATTTATGCTCGTGTGTAAGCTTATTATACTTGTGGGAGGTATCTAGGCTTGTGTGAGCTATTTGTGCTCGTGTGTAAGTTTGTTATGCTTGTGAGAGCTGTCTATACTTATGTGTGATCAATACTTGTTGAATTATTGGCAAGCGTACCAAATTTATCAATCATAGTATAGTATTTCGATTAAATAAAAGTCGATCTCACGAGGAACGGTTTCAATAGAAATTCTTAATTATATGCTTACTAAGTGGATTAAAGCAAAAGATGTTGTTCATAAAGAGTTGCAATGAAAATAAAATGACAAAGAACAGTAAATTGTTTAGAAAAGATCAATTAAAAACACTTAGGATTGACTTCCTTCCTTTTCTCTTTTTTGCAATGGCTATGTTCAATTAAGATCATCAATTAACCTAACAATGTTGATGCCACCTACTCAATTCATCCATGTTGATTCCTCACACATGAAATTCATAAGAAAACCTAATAAATGTTGATTCCTCACACA